AGTATAATAATAGCTTTAATAATAGCTTGTGATTAATTCACTTGGCTTTTATCGGTTTTTAGCGTTATTTTGTTATCGTTTTTATCATTAACTCAGGTTTCCTGGGTCTTTTCACGTGTGTTATGAATAAATCTTCTTTTTTTCGGTACCGGTACTAGTTTTATTTTGTTGTATTTATCCGCGACACTTTAAAGGCCGGTCCGTGAAAATATATTGTCGGGCATAAACCGGTCCGTGGCGCAAAAAAGGTTGGGGACCGCTGACCTAAAGTACATGCTGAACTTTAAATAAAAGCTGACAAAGAACACGTACATTTGCTTCATTGTAATTTGGGTGAAAATTACCAAGAAGTCTTATGTTGATATACCATGCTTGTTTTTTAAACTAAGTGTTGTAGGTCTCTTTATAATATAGTTCTTTATAATGAAGGTCAAATGAACTCGTGCTCTATAGCATATTCTATATCGATAACTGAGAGACATCTGCAAGTTATTCAGTTGCATGTGCCCATATATTCACTAGTCTCTTCTACTGTAACGTCATAGATTTGAAATGAATTTAGATGAAATTAGTGTGTGACTGTTTTACATCCTCTTTTATTCACATCTTCGTCTAATCGAATACATTTACAAATGCATTTCACAACCATAAGCTCTAAAGCATGTTCACAACCAGTAACGAGAGGATGAATTGCAGTTGTATGTTGCGCTACCTCCCCTGGAAGTGAATGGATAGTTGCCAAAACTCCGTGTAATAGCCTCCGAAATTCTTCGGATTACTGATCGATAGTTGAACAAAGTTCAGCCAAAGTCACACTGATTTTCTGACCAATCTCAGCCTTAGAGGCGGGGGATAGAAACGTGAAAGAAGATACATGTGTGCTTCGGTTGCTCAGAGGCGAAGCCGAAGTCAGCAGAGTTGATTTGTAGGGGGAAAAAAAGTTTTGTTTGGTTTAAAAAAAAAAAAAAAAAAAAGATGATTTCAATAAAATCGCCGTCTCTGACGCCGGTGCCCTGCGCGCAGGCTCTGCTCGGTGTGGGCTGTTTGGCTTTCGCCCTCCTCGCGTTCATGCTGGTTCGCCAGCTCGTCAAGCAGAGAAGACCTCCTGGTTTTCCTCCTGGTCCATCTCCCATCCCTGTGATAGGCAACATTTTTTCTTTAGCCACCGAGCCGCACGTCTTTCTCAAGAACCAGAGTGAAGTTCATGGACAGGTAATGCCCTTACGCGCACTTTATGAATCTAACGCTTTTACTAGTTTGCAGCGTGTACACCCACACCCACACACCAAGAGAACAAAAGAGACTCGCCTTAATGGCCTGGGAACAGCTGGAAAGCGTACAAGTTAGGGCCTCCCCCAAAACACACACACACAAACACACATATGTATATATATATATATATATATATATATATAAAGCGCTATTTCTACTGACCTTATATGACTGTCTTGCAAGGGAGAATGAAACTCATAATGGCAACCTGGTAGTTTGCACGTCAATTTATTTCAGGACACAAACCATGTCACAAAGCTCAGATCATCTCAAACTGGTTTCTTGGACATGACAGTGCATTCAGTGTAGTCGGATGGTCTTAACAGCCTCCAGATCTCAATCCAATAGAGCTCCTTTGGTGGAACAAGAGATTCACATTAGGAATGTGCAAACAAAAAATCAGAAGCAACTGTGTGATGCTGTCATGTTATTGGCAAGGTTTACCAAAAAAAAGTGCCCACTGAGTGTGTGTATTATAAAACCGTTTGTCTCTCTATTGAATACCAGGGAACTCCTTCTCTAGTTCAGACAGCCACTTTGGAAAGAACAGACCAGCAAAGACTTGCAAATGTGAATTCATTTGTCTAAAAAATAGTACATTCCTCTAACAGAGGCTTTAATGTGGATAGAAATGTGTGTGAAGATCTAAATGACTGCAGTGACTGCTAGTGACTGCTAATAATGGAATTCACACCTTTCAGATTTTCAGCCTTGACCTGGGAGGCATCTTGACTGTGGTGTTAAATGGATACGACTGTGTCAGAGAGTGCCTTTACCATCAGGGTGAGGTGTTTTCTGATCGGCCATCACTACCTTTGTTCAAGAAAATGACCAAAATGGGCGGTAAGATGCTTTGATATAACCGTGAATGCCGTTTTTTGCAATCTAAAAAAATGTTATTTTGATTCAAAATGATTAAATTCTATTTTTCTCTTCCAATGTCCAAAGGGCTTCTTAATTGCAAATATGGCAAAGGCTGGAATGAACACCGCAAACTGGCCTGCAGCTCTTTTCGTTACTTCGGCAGCGGCCAGAAACTCTTTGAGAAGAAGATCTCGGAGGAGTGCATGTTTTTTGTCGATGCCATCGATGAACACAAGGGAAAGCCCTTCAACCCCAAACATCTTGTGACCAACGCAGTGTCCAACATCACCAATCTGATCATTTTTGGGCAGCGTTTTACCTACGATGATCGCAACTTCCAGCACATGATTGAGATATTCAGTGAGAATGTGGAACTAGCAGTGAGTGGCTGGGCCCTCCTCTATAATGCCTTCCCTTACATTGAGTACCTGCCCTTTGGGAAACACCAGAAGCTCTTCCGCAATGCTGCTGAGGTTTACAACTTTCTACAGGAGGTTATAAACGGTTTCTCACAGGGCAGAGTTCCCCATGCACCACGCCATTATGTTGATGCCTACTTGGATGAGTTGGAGCAGAATGCAGGCGTTCAGGGGTCCTCCTTTTCTTATGAGAATCTCATCTATTCAGTGGGTGAGCTCATTATTGCTGGTACAGAGACTACAACTAATACTCTGCGCTGGGCCATGCTCTACATGGCTCTGTATCCCAACATACAAGGTCAGTTGTAGTAGAAACCCCCCAAATTTTTTTTACTTCTAATTATTTAGTCTCATTTTACTCTAAATTTAATGGTTATATAATCTCACCTAATAATCTGTGTTTTTACCTACAAAGAGAGGGTGCACAAGGAGATCGACAGCGTGCTGTCCAATGGGAGGGCGCCCACTTTGGAGGACAAACAGAAGATGCCATACATAGAGGCTGTGCTGCATGAGATTCTACGCTTCTGCAATATTGTACCACTTGGGATTTTCCGTGCCACGTCCCAAGATGCAAAAGTCAATGGGTACACAATCCCCAAAGGGACCATGGTGATCACAAACCTCTACTCGGTGCACTTCGATGAGAAGTACTGGAACGATCCTGGTGTTTTCTCACCGGAGAGGTTTCTGGACAGCAGCGGCAATTTTGTGAGGCGCGAGGCTTTCCTTCCATTCTCCTTGGGTAAGGCTTAGTTTCTCAAAACCAGCATTAGCTATGATTGGTTAAACCAAGTTATTCCTCAAAGACTTTCCTGTTTATTTGCAGACTTGAGATAATTAGCCAGATGCAGTGTGTCTGTGTGAAAAATGGAACAGTTTTTCTTTTTTTTCAGGGAGGCGTGGGTGCCTGGGTGAACAGCTGGCTAGAATGGAGATGTTCCTCTTTTTCACAACTTTGTTGCAGAGGTTTCATCTTCAGTTCCCTCCAGGAACTGTCCCAACTGTCACTCCCAAGCTGGGCATGACCTTACAGCCCAAAACTTACTACATCTGTGCGATCCGCAGGCAGCAGAAAGTTCCCTGCTCTGGATACACTCCTTTTTACAAGTAGTCAGGTGAACATTTTCAATGGCTTGTGTAGCCATTATGTGTTACACTACTTTGCACAACAATGCAATTGCGTGATAACTGTATCACTCTGAAGTTTCAATGCATTGCATTTTTCCAAAGCATCATTTATGGCAAATACGGCTGTAGATCTGATTATTTAATCCACTTTATCTAATTACTATTGCTTCTCTTTTTTTAAACTGAGCAATATGCATGTTTGCACAATGCTCTTTTTGGAAACAGCTGGTGAGGCCGCAAGTGATGAAAGAACATCCTGGGAACATGAGTGTCATATTGATTCAGTTCTCTGAGCTCAGAGACTGATATATCTGTGAACCCTGGGACAGTAGCAATGAGTAGCTTATATGCCAGTCAATGACTTACAGTATGTGCACCTGTGGCGGTTCAGGATAGCACTGGGTCAGACAGAAGACACCAGCAATTTATGTGGGTCACACAAAATGGGATGAACAGACTTTCCAAGAACGTTCGTAACACTGTGTGCTGAAGATAGACGTGGGCCAAGATTCACATCATGTGGACTGACACTGACCCCTTCTCCAAGCATAACGGTCTGTGGAAAATCTTTCTCTTAGAAAGCAAATGCAACAATGTTTTTTTTCTAGAAACTGACGTTGCAACGCTGGTTTCTGTTAAATGGTGCTTCTCAGTATGTACTGAATTTAAGTGGAATGTTAACATTTGTTTGTACTTTATTTGTTTTGTAATGCTGGTGTTTTTGAAGGAGTTTTATGCATATTAATAAAGTATTTTCTAAAAAAGTAAAAGACCTAACATTATTCATTTCAAATTTATAAATCATGTTCATGAGAGTGAAAAAGGAACCTGAACATAAACATGGTGCCAAGTGTACAAAATCTGCCTAATCACACACGCACAGCTACTTGCTGCAACTACCCCTTGTGACAAGGGAGCAGTTAAATTCAGTTAAATTTTATTTATGTAGCAAAAAATCACAACAGTCCCCTCAAGTCACTCTAAATTGTAGGGAAAGACCCTAAAAAACAGAGAGAAAACCTGCAAAATCAGACGACCCCCACCATGAGTATATAAGCAAGCACTTGGTGACAGTGGGAAGGAAAAACTCCCTTTTAACAGGAAGAAACCTCCAAGAGCTGAAAGCAGCTCCTTTAAAAATGTTTTTCTACCTATAATTCTACTCATAGGTAGAAAAACTAAACAGGCACAGTATGCCCCCTTTGTTAAAGGTGTAGACATTGAAACCATGGAGACAATCCACTCATGAGTCAAATGATTATAAATCAAACTACTAAGATCAAACCAATACATTGAGAGACGCCCACATTTTGTGTACTGATCTTGTGTGGAATTGAAGTGACCTGATCCTTCATAAATCAAGCATAGTTTGTACATGTACTGTTCCATAAGAGGAAGTGAATACACAGTTGGTATATCTAATGTCTTTAAGGTTATTCTCCTGTTTTTATGGGGTGGCATGGACAAAAAAAAAGAAAAAAAAGAAAGGCGTATATATTTTGGGCTCACACAGACAAACACAGACACCAATAAAAATCAATGAGAACTGCTGATACTTGAGGGATGGTGTTTTATGACAGCTATAAATAACAACAAAAATCTGTTGCCTCCACAGTGTAGATAAGGGTGAATGGTTACATTAGACAAACGTACGTATATTGATGCTACATAAGGGTAACAACCATTCATTGATGTATTTATGGCACAATCATCAGAGGACACTGTGGTTTGAAGGACTGCACAGCGAGAAGCCAACAAACTTTTACAACTTAATGAGCTGGAATACGTCAGGTCAGGGGCTACCGATGCTTTATAGTCCAGCACGGGTCCATGTGAAAAAAAAAAGAAAATAAAATTATGTTTGTCATATTGTTTATGGCTCTGAGTCCACCCGCTATTCTTAACACTGTCACTGCCACTTTGATCCCGGTGGAGTATTTGACACGAGCTGCTTTTTCTTTTCACAAACGGTACCGGAGCAATTTATTTTTGTGTGTGTGTGTCTTGCCAATCAGCTCATCACGGCAGACAAATTAATCTATGTAGGTAACGTTTGGCACTAGCTGGGTCAGGTGATAAAGACAGGGACAGAGAGAGACGATGAAGAATATAAGAGTGGTTATGATACAGAACAGACAGACGCTGAAGTTGGAAAAATGAAAAAATCTAAATCAAAACACCAAGCCCCACAGTTCCACACCTGGAAATAGAAGTCGATAAAAACTTTGGAAACACAAAGGTAATTACAGGATCGCAATGTACAATATGTCAGCTGTGTGTAGAAAACAGATGCATTCATTTGATTATTTTAAAAATATATCTTTATATGCACATACTCTTTTGTACAGCGGCTAAACACTTGTTTGGTATTAAAATGTGCACATCTGTATCTATTTTGTGTCTTTAAATATTACTATCTCAGTTTGCACTGCTTACTTAACATTTTCTCCAAACAGTATGATTCAATAACGTGAGAAAGGAGCTAGGCGACAGTTCTAACTTCCCTTTGATATAATGTCTTATTCTAGTGGAATGCCAAGAGTTCTTTAACCTTCCTCATGGTAGGTTAGAATATATATTTATATGTATATATATATAGAAACAAAACCAAAGTGACATGAAACTTTGGATCCCTTCTTTGCAAACTGGCCAAGTCATAAGTGTGAACAAAAGAGAAAAGTTTGTCTAAAAGTCTGCATTTAGATACTGTACTGTTAAAATGAGAGTTTGAATTTTAAATCATTTTAAAATTCAATTGAAAAACCCTAAACAAACCCAAACACACTGTTATAGCATGTGTGCATGATGTGCTGCTGCTACAGAAGACACATTTGCAGTCTGCTGACAACCAAGAAAGGCCTTTCTCCAGTGAGATTGTAAAAAGGTTACGCAAATGGCCGAGAGACGGCGCATACCCCGCATGTCCCTCTGTCACAGAGGATTTCTCGAGGATTGCTTGAATTTGTTTGTAGTCGAGTTGTTCATTGAGAGATTACAAACTACTTCAGTCACCCAGATTTTTAATCTTCTTACGTTTGAAAGTGTATTTCATATTAATGACATAAACTCTTGCAAAATAATTATTCAACTTTGCGTGAATCCTGAGTAACCTTTAAAAAAATACTTAGAATCAAAAAAAAAGGAAAATGAAGAATCCATTCATTGAATCGGCACTCCTGATCTGAATGCGACATGTTAAACACCAACCAGAGGACATTTCACTCATTAGAAATCAACTGTTGCTAACAGGACAAACAAACATACATACAAATTACATAATAAAATAATTAAAAATGCGATCTCTTTCTCCCTGCTCATTCTCTCCGTCACATTCCGGACAAAAATGTTCACACATTCAAACGAAACAAAGGACAGAGAGAGAAAAACAAAACAAAACAAAACCCAAGAAGACAGGTGGTACGCATGAGTAAAAGCATCAAAAATGATGCATATATAATGCTATTAATCAGTCAACATTTCAGTACTGTCTCTGTGACTGAGTCTGATACAGTGTTTCGTGTCACCAGCAAGGAGAGAACTACACAAGCCTAGGCTCTGGGCCAATATGGACTTAGTAAAGGTTCAGACAGGCACATTTGATATATATATGTATATATGTATATATATATATATAATTCAAAAATATACCTGACATTGAAGCTGAAACAGTTTCAGTCTCTTGTCTTTCCTTTGGTAAAGGGTATCTACCATTTCATGATGTCATTTGCTTCAGTATGTTTCCTCTACCTTTCCTTTTGAAATACACAGAAACTGTTTTTGTACCTAAGGGAGGTGGTAAGTGTTAAGCGCTTTGCATTCAAGGCAGCATCACAGCCAGGTTACCATGGAGGACAAGTTCATCCTGGACATCAGTCCACGCTCTTCTTTTTCTGCACCTTCTGCCTCCTCAGTCCTGGTGCGTTTCTCTGGGTGCACTTGACTCTCCATGGGGTGAAAGTGCATAGGAGTTGGGCCCCCACCGTTGCAGTAAGGATCCGCTCACAGTAGTAAGGCCTTTTTGTTTCTCCAAAAACAACGTGACTGCTTAAGCGTTTGAGTGTCAGCACAGTGAATCTTTCAATATGTTTGTGTGGGCGTGTGTAAGAGAGAGGGAACGTGTGTTTTATGTGCATTTGTCAAATGTTAAAGTCGGTGAAAGGCAGGTGGTTGAGGGCCTCGTGTCCTTGTACTGCCTCTCCTTTTCTTGTCCACGCGTCTGCTCCTCTTGCTGCTACTGACGCTCCTCCCCCTCTTCCTCCTCTTGGATGACCTGGATGTCATCTGACGGAGAGGTGGGCAAACTGTCTGGCGGCTGCTGTTTGGCGAGCTCTTTGCTCTTATCCTCCTCATCGATGACCTTCTTCCACACCTTGTGGTTCTCTGTCAGGTGCTGCATGATGCTGCAGAACAACCTGCGCCGTTTTTTCCTCCTTCCTACAACAACACCAAAAATTAAAAAAAAAAAACAAATGTGTTTAGGGAATTCCACACTGGTGTAACTGTAGCGTAAACATGAATTATTCTTTATTTTCTCAACACATCAACCAACTCCCCGTCTGACCAGGGTGGGAAATAGTCAGAGTTTGGTGCCCTGATCATAGACTGTAATTAAAGGATGGACGTACAGTGACATCACTCATTAGTTTGTAAAGTCTCATTTATAAGCCTTGATTATTTATTTTTAAAATTTCACCAGACATCACAGGTGGAGGTGGATCCAACTAAGAAACAAGAAACGCTGGCCACTCTTATGATTTTTTAAAATCACAACAAACAAATGACATAAATAAAAACACTGTTTGATCAACTATTTTATGATAAATTATAAAATTATGTACTAAATAAACATCAACATGCCGTATGACTTGAAACCTGGGACTGAGACTGTAAAAGTTTCACAAGTGCTATAAATTACATTTTACTTTCATACAGATGGTCTTTAAGAGAGTCGCCCCCTGCTGGCTATCAGGACGAATGAGATATTTTGCATTGCTTTAACTTTTCAGACCTGCAGGCTTTGTTGATATATATACAGTGTATAAAACTGACCGTGCAACCAGGAATAGAAATAAGTGCAACAATCAATGTCAACTAGGAACATTTCTGAACAAATTTTGAGTGTGCAATTAGAGTTGTATAATTACTGATATAATAATTATATAATTACTATTTGAGTTAGTAGCAGCCAATACTGTTAACAGCTTAACAGCTTAGACAAACAAAGACAGACAAAGTGGAAGTGCTGGTATAGTTTGGTGTAGGTATAAACTCCAAGTACAGCAAAGGTTTTAGCACTGGTTAGCGTAAAGGGACAGTTTAGGTTAGTAAAGACGTTGAAAATAAAGAAAAAAATCATTGACTTAGCATACAAGAACTGTCAGCCTAACAAAATGCATTGGCAGCAAGAGGAATCTTCTAGTGCAAAACACTGAGCAGACCGAGGAAGTCGGAAGCAGTTAAATCTGACCAAAACAAACAAAATCGCTCTCAACTATAACAACTATCATGGAAGCATGTAATTTTCTGTCTGTATATATAACAAAGTGACAATGGAGACTGAATGAGTCAAAGTTGATTGTTCTGCAATGTGGAGGGTTTTGTTTTTTTTTTTGGACACAGTTCTATGCGAATTTCAGGAAAACTATCAAACAAATCGATACCAGGAGTTATAGCGTGCTATTCTTGACACAGTCATTTTGATATAACTTTTACTGGGGTTTTCTCAAAGCTGGACAAGGAGTACAAAATAGTACAAAAGTGCTAAATACTTTAGACTGTTACACTAAATTAACCAATTAGCTTAAAAACAGGGAGAGGTAAATATCAAAATGGCAGACAAGTCAATGTCATGCCGTTAACAGTCACATGACCACAAAACCCAAAATACTAAGAATGCCTGTCTCATAACGCCACCTGAAGTGGCTTTACTTAAAATTTGTGGGTACCACATCTTACTTGGTGCCAGCTCTTCTTCTAGCTCATCTTCCTCATCTTCATCTTCGTCTGTTTCGATGTCCACCTGGCCCTCTTCGTCATCGTCATCCGACCCCTCTTCAGTGATCCAGTGGCCAGGAAGTAAGCCAGCAGCATCGTAGGAGTTACAAAGCGGTCCTACAATGTGTGTGATGAAGGACTCCTGCAGCTTGGCCAACTGAGGGGAGGAGCGGTCCATGAAGGGGCTGATGGGTAATCCCAACCTGGATTCTTCATCTCCCTGCAGATTAAAACCGCAGATTACAGACATTTAGAGATGAGATTTGATATTTGATGCAAACTATATCACAATCAGAGGAACAGAAAGCGTTGCGCGGCTCTGACTTTTTTCCTCGTATGACCACGCGCACACAAAAGCAGATTTGACACAAATTTGAAAGGTTTTTTGAGTGTTGATATTTCTTGATATTTCTTCTTTCCTGGTTTTAGGATCAGTTTTACAAGAGGGTGCACTCTCATTTTACAAAAAAGTTCAAATCTTCTAGAAGGAAATGCTTAAAGTTTAATACAGAGATAAAAATCTATGATCTATGATAACTAAAAACTCTCTGCAGCATTAGCACGCAGGCTGTACCTGTTCGTAGAACTCATTGACGATGCCTTCTGTCCATTTGAGGTGCAAGTCACGGACTTTGGCTGGTCCATTGATATCTGCCAACTTTATGCACACTTGGCACACCAGCAGTCTATCGTTCTCGTTGGTCCAATCAATTCCTGGACTGTTCACATCGTTCACCTATTTACAAAGACGGATGCCTTAGTACCACTTGTATCGTAGACTCATTATGCCATGTATTGCTCAACTGATTTTTTTTTAACTTAACAACCTCTCAATGCTTAAATCAATGTTTTGCAGAAAATTATACTTTTTGTAAGCTGTCTGTTCAAAATATTTCATCTCAGACCTTGGAATTGAATTCAGCCAGGAAATCAAAGTGCTTCTTGAGGTCTGTGGCCAGTATAGCCTCGATGACGAGGAAACGAAAACGCTTGAATTCCATGTGATCCAGGTTGACGAGGAAGTTGAACTCAGGTTGGGAAAGGTAGAGGCTCCAGGCAGATGCTGCATGGTGGTTCTCCAGCACTGAGCGGTCATTGTACAGCACAGCCTACAGCGCCCAGGAGGACAAAAGCACAAGGTGTCAGAGTGGCACACTAAAATGATTCCTAAAAAGTTCTAAAAGGTTAATAATAGGGTTGCTCGTGTTGTGCGTATGAGCTGCATAACTTGTATTGTGTATAAAATCGCAAAGGTATCGATTTTTAAATCCTGGGTGATCGTTCTCGAGTTATTGTATTCACTGTTTAATAACAAAGTCCTTAGATCTCAAGGTCAAAGGTCATTGTTATTCAAACTAATCCAAGACTCTTAGTAGATTCGCCTATTGCATCAAACTGTCGACAAACTGTCAAGTCAGGTGATGAAGAAGTGATAATTTTGCCTTGTTCTGCAGCCACAGTACTTGTGCACTTGGCAGTCAATAAATCGACCATAAAGTCGTCCGTATAGCAAAGTATTCTATGGGCAAATGTGAGGCCATCATTCTCAAGCAGCTAAAACCTGGCCTAAACTGGATCATGTAGCAGGACAATGTTACGAGCAAGAAAAAGAAAAGAATCAAGGCGTTTAATGGAGCAGTCAACGTCTAGAATCAACCTGACTGAAATGCAGTGGCAGGACCTTTGAGAGAGCTGTGCATAAATGAATGCAAACCTCAATGAACTGACACAATGCTGCAAAGAAGAGACAACATTCAATGATTCAGAGATGGTCTGAATCTTAGATCAATCTTAGTATGTAAAACTTAAAGAAAACTTAAGGAAGTCAAATGACCCTTAGATGACCCTGATTTTTCTTTTTACTGTGACAAGCAAAGGCGCAGACACAGCTGAAAGCATCTACTGGTTGAAAGGTATCAAATGATAACAAATGTTAAAACATTTGATACCACAAAATACTTAAGATCCTTTCAACAGACATAGTGGTTGTCAACATCGTTAGCAATCAATAGGTCCAAGGTTCTTTTCTCCTTTTCTTTTAACTCACTTTCCTAGCATGAAACCCAGACAGAGTGAGCGCTATCGCTGGACATGTCGTCAAAATACAATATTTAAACTGGGGCAAGTGGTTAACCGTTTCATCGCTCATTTATATAACTCACCACCAATGAGGGAGCATTAACTGGCCATGTGGTGACAAGCTAATCTTGCACATGATCTTCATTTGTAGAGATAACTAAGGAAGTCTCAGGAAATCAAATAACACCTCAGCATAAAATAGCCTGTCAGACAAGCACAAGTGTGGCTCGTGTGTCACGCAGCGGTGATGTAAAGAAAAGTTAAAGATTAACTGAAAAACCGGACACTGACTACACAAAGACAAACCACAAAAAATACCACGTGAGGCAATCTGATACCGAGGGGTACGCAAGCTAAAATTTAACATTATGCTTACTATGTTACAGAGAACATTACTGAATTAGCTGTAATGTTATCTCTAGTGTACGAACCTAATGTATCTGATGTCACTATATTGCTAGTAATGTTAATACAATAAATCATACATCTTATGTCCAGTGGCAGTAAGCATGCCTTGGGGTGGAATCGGAGGAGTGTAAAAGTAAAGCCACACAATATCCGCCGGGTGACACTTCAGGGAGGCACAATCAATGCTGCACAGACAGCCATGTGAGTTTCTGTATGTACACGAGGCTTGTCTCAGGCCAAGTGTTGATATTGCTCTTGGGCTGTTGGTCTTCAGGGAAAACAGGTTCCAGCGCCTTTCAGGCAATGACCATCAACAGTCAGGAAGTAATTCACCCTGCAGACTTTGACATATACTGTATGTATTTTTTAACATCTTGCTTTGTTTTATGGAAGATACTGTTAATTTCCACAGGAAGCCTAGAGGACTATATAGACTGGCCACCAAGTCTGAGACCCAAATAAAAACTTCTGTGCTCGGTTTAGCGTGAAGGCAGCAAGTCTGCAAATGTCGCCACTATGTGTGAGACACCACATCTAACACTGCTGTACTAGTAGACAAAGCGCAGGACAAATGCTAAGTGATTCATCCGCTTAAATAGGGGTGTAAGCTGAGTAAGTATAACTAATAACAACATTTTGTATACGCTGTCTTCACCACTCCATTTTCAGCAATCCATGAAAATGGCACTTTGCCTTAACCCATATTTTGAATTCATATTGTTATCCTCTGTTTCTGTTATGTCTGCAACCCTTTGAAGTACTAGCAGAAAGTGTATGCTACCTGAGGTGCATTAGTGGCTACTAGAAAGGCATTTGTGCGACCAGGGTGGTCATAGTCGTGCATTGCAGCTGCTACATAAAGGGCCATGAGCTCCAGGGCAGGGATGTTCCAGGACAGGCAGCCATAGCTGTCATCTGAAATTGAGGAGCTCTTGGACGAGGCGTAGGATATCCTGCCTGGAGAGATTCCACTATCTGAATCTGGAACATAACAAACAAGACTGATGAGTCTCAGCAATAAAAAAAAATGAGACAGATTACACTTTTAGCTCTTTTGTAATTAAGCAAAACTAAACTGGAGCTAATGTAAAGGTCTCCATACACCTACATGCACACGCACACGCACACACACACACACACACACACACACACGCAGAGAGAGAGAGAGAGCGTTCTATGCCAGCGCTGTTTTAGATTTCATTTCCCAGATTACTTCCATTTTCTCACTCCCCCTCTCCTTATCAAATGACAGCTGCTCTGGCAGCAGTGGGTGCACGTCAGTGGATAAGCCTCAGATAATTTCTAATAGAGCTTAAATATCATCTGCAGAAACGAGCCTGGGAATCTCTGCCATTTGAGCCAAACCATCTGCTTTCTTTAAACCAACCCATGAGGAAGAAACTCTTAAAAGCCACAAGCAGCAGTAACAGTGCAGGCACTTCCAAAGCATGCACACTTTAGCTAAGTTAACACAACAAGTCTAATTATGTTTAGTTGGCTGTATTTTTTTTTTTACCAGAACAGAAAAAAATGAGACTTAGAAGACCAAAGTGTTTTTGACCATTTAAATTAAAGATTGCATGTTAATGACATTTTTAAATTTTTTTTACAGTGTGAGGGAATCACTGGGAATCAATGTTGTGCGACCATGTGTTTGGACTGCAAACAGCATTGTCTAGAGCAGCTTTTGCACGTGCACTACGGCCCTGAACTTTTCAAGACACGGAGTAAATGTAAATGAATGTAAATGTTCAATTCAGACAGATCAATCACTGACTTTACCCCGAGACCTCTTAAGTACAAAGGTCGGATAATATCCGACTGAGCGCAAATCCAGGCCCTGTGTCCTGTCACCTGCACACTCTACCCCGGTGCCTCCCTCTGTCTTAACCAAATGGCAGTATTTCCAGTGGAGGAAACTGGAAATACAGCACTGGTTGGCATGTATGCACGAGAAAAGTGATTTATAAGATTATAATGTAATAGTACAGACTGTTGTTTACCTGTGTCACTCCCAGTCACATGCTCACTGTGGATCTGCTGGAACCCAGGGATTGGTCGAGTGGTCAGGTACCAAACAGCGTGCAGCACATCAGTAGCATGTACCCGATTATGATCTGTGTGTTTTTAACCATAACAGTTTAACTTAGAAATTATTACGCTTGATTATTGCAAAAATAAACATAACCATGTATAAGATTTCTTATAAGAAGTCTTAAGCACTGCACAGCGCAACACTCACAAGGAATGTCTCTGTATCCATTTTCCAGAGCACAGAAGTATGTCATGAACTCCCTCACAGGGATCTTGAAGATCTCAAAGAGACACATATCCTGGAAAAGGGTGTATGTCACCTGGGGAAAGAAAAGCCAGCTTTACTAAAACACCCATCCGAAAACAGGAAAGCCAGCGACATCACATCAGTTTAGTGCTACAGTAAAACAAAGTAGATTCCACAAGTAATAAAGTCCACAATTGGCTCAAACTGAATCACACTCATAATCATAATCAGTCATAACTTAGGGAGGAGGTACCAGAGCATCCAGGCTCCACTAGACTGCTGAAAATGTATGAAGCTGTGCCTCTGGTGTACCTCTTCTAATTTTGGTAATCAAAGTTTACAAAAAAACTGGACGTATTCACTTCAGACTAAAAGGTTTAAAGTCTATCCAACAGGGAAAACAATGGTCATTATATGCTACTAGCAGAACTGCTTATCAGATATGTACATATTGGGTTTGCAGTTGTTACTAACATAGCTTAGGATCCTTCCGGTCTTCCCTCCTGTTTTGTCCACCAGGTCAAAAATCTGGAAGTTCCAGGTGTTCATCCTCTCCATGAGGGTCTCGTGTTCCTCGAGCATAGGATCTAGCATAAACTCCCGTTCATCCTGATGACACAAGATCATTAGGCTCATTATAGACAAACAAACAACAAAACAATGCAGTATTTTCCTTCTGATTCTGCAGCTAGCCTGCTGACAGTTTGATCAGAGATTTGCAAATATTTTGTTTGCTGGTCACCGCTAATGTACTCTTCTGCTGATAGCAGGACCTCACATGGCGTATGAAAACGGTGCTAAACACCTTGCTTCATATGTCCGATAAACTCCCAGGAAGTTGTCATTGAAGGCTTTTTATAGCTTCTTTGGGCATTGGATGGTCTGACCTTGGGAGGAATTTGCTGAGATATCTGATCCTCGAAGGCCTGAGCAATAAGACCAGTTTTTTGGTCTGACTGCTCCAGACCAACAAACTCCCCAAACGTCTCACACTTGTTGATGATCAGTTCTTCAAGTGCATTTGATTAGCAGTATCTGGCTGCTAATCACCCTCTTAACTTCTACGGGAACGGTGCACTTATTTTTTTTCACAGGTTGTTCTCCGGTCGATAATCACACTGTGAGTAAAAGCCCTCTGATTAAGCTCACCTCTGATTCCTGAGTCTGCTGGTCTGTGCTCGTGCTCTTCTCCTTCTCCTCCTCTGTCAGCCTCTGGTCCCCCCCATCGTCTGGGCACCCATCTTCAGACACATCCATCTCCGAACTCTCCTCCCTAATCAGAGGTTCTCCTATGAACTCTGGCCCTTCCCCTGCTATGTATAAATACATAAAACACAATGTAAAACCACCCAGTAATGCATCACATCCAGAGAAAAACATTAGCACCTTACATAGCTTATAGAAGTTTTATGTTTTCAACCCTAAGACTCGAAACTGTGCCATTGTTCCATAACATCTAACTATTTGTACCTGAGCGTCTCCGCTGAGCCTCAGTGGTGTACGGTTGATGGGATTCCCCTGTATCACTGTTGCCCTTGAGCATCTGACGACCACAGCTAATAATCACAGACATAACCAAATGCAATCCATCATATACCTTAACGGCAATCACTGATAGACTGGATAAAAGATGACAGTGTGGCGTGTCTCTTCAGTTCTGCAGGTCTCACCTGGTGCAGAGAAGTAAGGCGGAGCTACGGAAATCAGGGGAGTTTATTGTGTAGCCCAAGGGTTTATGCAGGTTCAGATTTACACTAGGCTTCGTCAAGAAGTCAGCCGTGTCTGGGAACTCCACAGGCAATCGAGGAACAAGGGATGATGAAGAACCAGTGCCCACAGCGGGAGGACTGTGGCTTGGAGAGGTGACGGGGCTCAGGCTCGGTGATGTGCCTAGAGAGAATAAAGGGAGTGCAGGAAAAAACAAAAACAGAGTCAAACACGAGTAATAAACAGACGTGCAGTTAGTCCGAGGAGCTTTATATTTAAGTCTCACCTGCTCTCCTGGGCCCTGCATGGTATGTGAGGGTGACAGAGGAAGATCTCTGCTTGGGAATGGTGAGCAGGTTTGCATTAGGCCCATTGGACAAACCTGAGCTGCAGGACAAAAACACATATATTAAACACGGGATTTATCAAGAAAATATAAAAAGGGTTTCTTTTTATCAGATGTTATGCATCATCCAGACAAAGAACAACAGTTCAAGGCTACTCTGGCAAGCCAATCACATTACACCATAGAAACAAGGACAAAAAAAAAGGTGCCAACATAGCCAATCCTCTCCTGCCATCCAGTGGAGACACACGGTAACAGGCACTGCACCCCACTGTCACTATAGTAATTCAAACCAATTTTGAAATGAATTTATTTAAAGCTTCTAAACCCATTTTTAACACTGAAGCGTTATGCTATAATTAATAAGTCCATTCCTTGATTGTGCATCAAAGAATAGATTTACCAGTCCTTGGTTCATCGAGGTAGCCTTAGTTAAAGAAGAGACAACTGTACTAAAAGTACAGTGATTTATTTACATTTGGGTAAAAGTATCACTGCACTTACTTTTCATGATAACTTTCATTATGACTTTCTGGCAATAAAAGGAACAAGTTAGATCCTGCAAGAAAAGCAATTTTATCTGCTCCAAAACAGGAGAGATTCAAGTAAGAGATAAATAACGTGCGCTAGCAGCTCTACAGATACTCTTGTGTTTCTGGGAGGTGGTAAGGTAGACGGCTGAGTTTGTGATGAGTACCTGATCAAGTTGAGGTCAGGGTGGGGTCTCTTGCCGTTGTTACGTTCCCACCGTAAAGAGGCGCAGTCAAGAGAAGGGAGTGTGGAGGATGCAGATGAGGTGGAACTACGCCTCGGCTGAGGGGTGGGGAGGCTGTTTCTGCTGTTCAAACCCTGATTGGTGAAGAAAGATCCAGTGATAAATATATGTTTTATACAGTAACATTAACATCATAAGTTAACTTGGCTGACTATCTGAAACTAGTAATCAGTTTTATGGCTCCAGAACTATTTCCCATCACAAGCCAGTGCTGGTTAAAACTATTAATAACTGATAAGGGACTAGTTTTGTGCAGTAGTAACACTTGTTCCCACCTTAATAGGTTTCCTATCACTCCTCTCTACAGAGTCCTCCACCTCATCGCAGGAGTAGAAACCTGGAAAGGGGGTAAAAGGGTTGACCCTGGGGCGGCATGAGCCTGAAAACGTCCCCATGAGGCTGGAGATGCTGCGCAGAACTGAGATAGTGTGTGGAGGCAGCGACGAGTCCATGAGCAGGTCTGAGACCAGATTCCTGGCCTCGTTGATGACTGAAAGGTCCACACCGTTGCCGCTCACTGCACCCTGTTGTAAATGCACATACACTGCACAGGTTAGGGAGCAGAGCTGCAAAGGCAGACATAAAATGACAGTTAAAAGTTTATGGTTTGTGGTGTCTAGTAGACTCCTGCTGGAGTGTGAGTACTGGTTTATGGCAGATAGGTGGCCAGGAATAGTATGAGGTTTATAATCACGTTCTTTATTTCTTCACGCTCTCTTTTATGAATTCCACTTTCCCATAAATTACACATAAACTGTGCAAAAACATGAAGAAGGCACTTTTTGGTTTCCACTGACTGTTATGTCTTTGTGTAAATTGCACAATGTACATCAACTTTATATACAGTCACGTGATAGATAAAGATAACGTTTTCACAGGACTCTATTCATCACTGTAAAAAACTAACAACCCATGACTCAGCCACTCGTAGGTCTACTTTTAACAGCAATAACTTGAAGTTATCGTTTTCTTTATGACTTTATCCATCTCTTACATCATTGTTTTTTTTTTACCCGCTTCCTTTACAGCATTGCTTCAGTTCAATGAATTTTGGGCATTTGTGCACCCACAGTTCCTTCAAAGTCACACCGTTTCAACCAGGTTGATTTTGGACACCTTGATGCTTTTCTCTTCAGCCATTCTGCTGCTGCTCTGTTTGGGATTATTGTTCTGCTGTTTGGCCTATTTTAGGCTGAGCTTTAGCTCTCAGTTAAATGGTCTCACATTCACTGACAATTCATTGTCAACCCAATAACTGCAAGGTGCCATAATAATGTGGCCTCTAAATCATCAACCCTCCACCACCATGCTTGACAGTTGCTTGTGTAGTGTTTGTGTTGATGTGTTTGTGTTTGGTTTTCCCCAGATGTGGTGAAATGTATTACAGCCAAACATCTCTACCTCGGTCTCATCTGTGGTTTGTTCGGATGCAGTTTTGCAAACCTAAGCAATTTTCTTCTTAGAGAGAAGATGCTTTGCTCTTGCAACCCTTCCAACGAAGCCATACTTGTTCAGTGTTTTTGAACTTTAGCATTTAACATGCTAACTGTGACCTATTAAGTCTGAGATGTAGCTACTTGGTTTTTTTTGCAGTTTCTCCAAGCATTTCACGCTCTGACCTTGGGTTGAATTTCCTGGGATGTCCACTCCTGGAAATCTTGTGGCATTTTGTAACACACACTTGAATGCTCCAGACTAGAAACTAACTTCTTCTAGAAACTTCTGCGTTTCTGGTGCTGCTCACACTTGCGTTTACATTTAATCAAGTACATTTGATAAGCAGCACCTGACTGCTACTTACCCTCTTAGTTCCTATGGATGGAGTAAGGGTGTACTTCGTTTTTCACAGAACTGCAGATCCGATGTGTAATTTAAGTGTTCCCTAATTGTTTCTAAACACTATGTATTGTTTCCAACTTCTTCTT